AGTTTATAAGGAGTCCTTGGAAAGCAAATAAAAAGTTACATTGAAGTTACCACACTGCTTTCAATGGCACATTTAAAAGAACTCAATCAAAGTGTGAAGACCAAGCATTTAACCCAGCCTGACCTTCTTGAAACCAGTCCATCTCTTTTCTTCTCTGATCTCTTGATCCTGTCTGAGTGTCGAGAATATTGTTTCCTGGAACACATAAAGAGGATGGGTCCACAAGTGGACAGTGACAATCAACAACTTAAAAGAGCTGGATATTTCTCAGCTCACTTTGCTCATGGTGTCAAGTAGAACGTTTAGTCTGTCTCATGTACGACTGGACGTGGCACTCGGTGCTGTGGTTCAGTTCACATGGTGATGTTTGGTCAGAGGTTGAACTCGATGATCTTGAAGGTATTTTCCAATCTTAATGATTCTATGATTCTATGTAGAGCTCCAAAGGAAAAACTAGTTTTGAGTGGTTTACATCACAAAGACCATGTGAGGATAAAATTCACTGAAACTCATGAAGCATTCAGTTCATGAGTCATCAATAGAACAACTTGGAAATAGTTTTGCATTACAAAATAGCATTATAATTTACTAAAATTTTTAAATCTTATAGGATTTTTTTTGGTGAAATTTCCTAAGAGAGAAGAATTCTTTTCAGTTAATTCAAAGTGAATGGTGAAAGTAGCACAAGTCTTCTCACGAGAGTGCTTCTGTGGAGAAAGGAAGCTGGAAATCTGAGAGCTCTGCAGCTAAAGAAAGGCTGGAACAAATGTCTTCTGCTCCTGGATTCATAGTCTAGTCTCTAAATTATAACTGACATACACTTATGTGAAAAAAAACAAAACAACTCAGTCAGTTTTGTCCAAAAGAGTGTCTTAGAAGCTTATATGTGACAGGAGATTTTACAGAAATGGGTTTCCACCTGATCCTGAGACTTGGGGTTACAGATTAAACTCATTCTTACATAAAGGAACCTAATTCTCCAGAGGTACACAAAAAGGGACATAAATAATTTGCCATTTTTCAAATAAGTAAAAAAAAAAATAGTGTAGGAAAACTCCTTTGCTTTAATGGATAACATGAAATGAAACAGCACCTGTCAAAGAAAGATGAAAAATAATAGAATGTTCCTTCATTGATCAGGAAGACATGATGCTCTGCAGAAAGTTCATTTTCAGGAATTCAGTGTACTTTTTGTAAGAAATGAAGCAACATTTCCTCTTGAAAAAGAAAATTTACTCTTTTAACCTTTTGATTCTGTCTTTAAAGAAAAAAGATCTATGTGCAAATTAAATATTAGTGAAAATGGTGTAGGAAAAATAAAGCTATAGATACAGAAGAATAAAGTCAGAAAACAGATAAAGCAGAATAGAAATACCTAACAACTTTTCCTATTGTTTGTTTTCCTGAAAAGTCATTGTGTGTCTTATCAAAGTCAGGTAACATAAATGTTCACTGCTAATTCCCCTGACAGTCCACACAAAATATATTTTATGTTGTAACTGGAATTTCTTTTGTACTGAGCCAAACAGCTTTTTTATGAAATGAAAGCTGAGTGCAGTTCTCAGGTAGAGCACTCGGGAGCTCTGCTGCACTGACAAAAAATTACATTACTGTCCTAAAAGGTATTGCATCCTCAGTTTGGCAGATTGTGGCATTGATCTCACATTACTCCTTGTATTTGATTGGAAAAAGAACTAAAACTCAGTTTTAGCAAAAACAGCCGAGGGCAAAAGTCAAATGAGAAATAGGCAATGTGGTGAATGGTATGTGGAGACTCACCTGACTGAGCACAGGGAACCAGCTCAGGGTAAGCCGGAGAGATTTCAAGATGCTACTGAGTCTAATGATTAGGTCTCTACAGGATAAAAACAGGAGCTTAGGCACTGCCTAAGCAGACATTGCCTGCAAACATTGCAATGCAGGTATTTCAGTTTTAGCAGCATTAACTGGAAGCTGAATTCCACCTGGGCACTTTCCTCTGCAGAGCAATAAACCTCAACCACACGACCACAAATCTCTCTGCACCTCTTAGGGAGGTTCTGGAGAGTCCCTGGACAGGGATATGCCTTTACCTCAGCTCAATTTTGTCATAAACATTTTGAACAGCTACAAGTCGCAATCGTTATCCCCTGTCTCCCCATATTTAAATCCTCATAATGAGAAAATTTGCTTCTCTTTCGGTCCTTCAGGGATTTCGTACGTAGAATTATTATTTTGGCATGAGTAGGTTACAGCTGTGAACACAAAATGAGCACCTAAAGCTATGGAAGGAGATTTATGATCTTTAACTTTGTTCTTATAATGAAAACAACTTTTTTTCTCACATGAATAACCTCTGTATAAGCAGGAGACAGAGATTTGTCTGCAAACTAAGGGTCAACAAATTCATTAGCACCTTGTGCTTTATATCAAGTTAATGCCATGCCCTTCTTTCACCAACACAGAAGGCTACATATTTTCTAAGAAAACTAGAAAATAAAGAACCAAAATGGAAAGAAATGCCTTCAAACTGAACCTTAGAAATCAAGGCACTGCTCAATACACACACAGTTTTTCCCAAGGAGAAAGACAAATAGAAAAGAACTGCAAATGATGTGTTTTATTCATGTTGGTGGTTCATGAGTCTTAATTCATGGATTTATCTAGATCAATATAAAAATAATAGAAAAAAAAAAAGATGGAAAAGAGTGGTGAAAAATGTTACTGACCCCATTTAAGTAGCCTCCCTGGTGCTGAATTACTTACTACAACCTTTACACCTTCCTCTCTGATCGTAGAACATAGAAAGCCTTTTTAGGTGCACGATTCAAAGAACATACAGTAATTTTTGCTTTGAACTGCCTTGCAAAAGAGCCTGTATCACTGGGCAGAAGCACAACGAGCTGCTGTCCGAACATGACTCTCTGAGTTGGATGTCATTGGAGAGTACAAAGATGCCCCAGTGACAGCATGAAGTAAAGCTTCCACACTGACAAATGGCACAAACTGTTCCCAAGACGAATGGCTAAAGTATTAAATTATAACACTGTTGGATATCTGCCCTGTGTGGCACCATGTATTTATTCTTTTGTTTCAAGTCAGATAGTGTAGTTACTGCAGATGAGTGAGAAGTCTTTGAGTTTAAGTGCCAGAGGCTAAAGAGATTTTGCCTCAGGATAAAATACAGAAATTATTTAAGAACTGAAAAGTATTGTAAATTTAATAACAATCATGAATAAATTAAACCAGCCTAATTAAAAAATGATAAAATGATAGGCTCTGTAAGAAAAGCCTGACTGTGGAAAGTGTTCTGTTCATATGGAAACGTTTAACTTCTCCAATCCCAGTGCCTGCCTTAGAGATGCCATCTGTGTCTTTTTTTTCTTTTTTTTTTTGTGCTAACATGCTATCTTGGTTCTGCATCTTCTTCTCTCATTTAATGCCACAGTTATCCAGTTCAGCTTGAATCATGTACATGTTATACCCCACTGCTTCACTCTTCTCCCAGTCAACTGGGAGGAATACAGGGGAATTGTCTGAGCAGCCAGGGACTGTGTTAGGAAAGCTAGAGCCCTCATAGAAATAAATCTGGCCAGGGACATCAAGAACAACGTGAAAATTTGGGGCTGTTCGGCATGAGAATCAGAAGGCTCCAGGGAGACCTTTTAGCACCTTCCGGTACCTAAAGGGACTCCAAGAGAGCTCGAGAGGGACTTTTGACAAGGGTCTGGAGTGACCGTACAAGGCAAAATGGCTTCAAAAGGAAAGAGGCTAAAGTTAGAAAATATATTTGGAAGAAATTCTTTCCTGTGAGGGTGGTGAGGCACTGGACCAGGTTGACCAAAGAAGCCGTGGATATTCCGTCCCTGGAAGTGTTCAAGGCCAGGCTGGATGGAGCTCGGAGCAACCTGGTCTAGTGGAAGGTGTCCTTTCCCATGGCAGGGGGGGTGTGAAAGGTTAAGTCCTTCCAAACCAAACCATTCTAGGCTTCTATGAACTGCAATCACAAACAAGGAGTAGCAAACAAGCCCCCTAGGATTGTCTTCTACTTCCTGGGATATTTCTTCCCGAATGGCCACAGATGCCCCTAAAGGAATTTACTCCTGTTGTCTCATGAAACTGTTCCTCTGTTAATCATTATTATCTGCTCCAAACTCTGTTTCTGACTTCATCTCTTCTAGATGCTCTTTTTCTCTGTCTTGCTGCTACACAGAGCTTCATTCTCTGCTGGGTTCATTACACAGGATCCTTTACTCTTTAGGCAATAAGTGTAAAATGATGTATTGTTGATCACACAGCATAATAAAATCCAGCTGTTTGGTAGCTGAAATCCAGAGTGAATTGTGGTTCTTTCTATAAAAGTGGACGTGACTTCCCCTAAAATTGCATTTTACATTATTCTACAATTTATTTGCCTTCTATTATGTATTTCTCATGTATTTGCCATTTACTTACATTCTGCCATCACACTTATTACATATTTTTGCCCAGTTATTAAAGCTCTCATCCTTGAAAGCGCCCACAAACCATCTGTGAATCAGATGAATTTGGTGCTCCTTTCATAATTCCAGTGTGCACCCAGCAGTAGCTAGACTGGAACCTTCTTGCTTTCCTGTACATGGCCCAATGTTACACGCAGAATCTTCTTGGGTTTACATTCAAATACATTTTACTTATGCATAATTGCAACTTAGAGGTTCATTTCAGACTCAAGTTAACCATGAACAGCATGTAAAAAGGCAGAGCAGAAACGTGATATTTTAACATGTTAAGTAAAATAATAGGATCATAGAATCATGAAATGCTCTGGGTCGGAAGGGACCTCAAAGATCATCAAGCTCCAACTCCCTGCCATGGACAGGAGCACCCTAAAGCTGAACAAGTTGCCAGAGCCTCATCCAACACTTGAATTCTTCCAGAGATGAAACATCCACAACTTCTCTGGGCAACCTCTTGCATGTTACTGCCGGTAGTCCAGATTTTAAAATTCCAGCATTCAAGTGGTCAAATAAGTTAAAAACTTACTGGCTTTTTTGTGTGCTCATATGTTACATGTGTTTTTGTTTCATTCTAGAATTTCCAGCAACTTCCAGTATAAAGAAATACATATTCACATAAATTTATATATATATATATATATATATATATAACACTTTTCTACAAATTGACAGTGAGAAAGAAGATAATGAATTGAGGCAATGGTCTTTCAGTTGTCTCAAGGACAGAAGATTGTCTTCAACATAAGTCTCTGCTTCTCATGCAGAGGAGTCTGGGCCCTCCATAGCACATGAGGGCTTTCCTCCAGGGTTCTCATTTGTACCAGCTCTCCAAAAGATGAACACACACAAGTGGACAAAACTGTTCAAGAGACTGGTAAGAATTACATTTACCATAAAATAATGTCCTCTATGATAATTACAGCTCTGTTTTTCAGGAAGAAGCTGGATACACCTGCTGACAGAAGTGTGCCTAGACTCATAAAGGTTTATATCACTAATGAATAATTCTCTCATATGATACCTACTGCTTCAAATTAAAAGTAAACATTTTATGTTAAAGAACTGAATATTCTTAAGTTGATCTTTTTTTCTTATATACCAAATATTCTGCTCCTTTAGGTTGGTTTTAATATTATCTGCTATTAACTTCCTAGCTGGTATTTCTAAAAGTCATATGTTAACATATGTGCTGCTAAATAACTCCTTGTATACACAGAATATATAGTTATTTAAGTAATGTGATGCAAAAAACATAGTGCAGGCACTAACTTCTCCATCTGCAGTTCTACCTTTACTGGAAAAAAAAAACCAAACTACAGGAGGTATAATGTTTTAACTCTTTAACCCCTTTTTGATATGTATTTAATCCCATTATAATACATTTTACTGGAAAAAATAAAGTGATTAATATTTGCTACAATAGCTCCCTAATGTCATATTCCCTAACAAAATTCTTAGTCAATCATTTCTCTGAAAAAAATCACAGTGTTCCAATCTGTAAGTGTACTACCCAACTGGGACATGGCTTTTTGGCTGAATTTCTTCCTTTCTTTTCTTTTACTTCTTACAGGCAGAGAGGTGGAAGGCTGACAAGGACCCAACTATAAATCATTCATTTTCAAAACTATGTTTTGACCAACTTCTGGAACTGTGGAAATGATTATTGCAGCCTTTGGCTGTGATTTAAATTATGCCACAGGCTATGGTTCCCTACGTGACCATACAACACCTGCAAACTGCACATTCCTGTCATTATTTTCTTATTACTCTGATAATCCCATCTTTTCCAGTATTCCCAGCTAGAAGGTGATAGCCTGAAGGGCAGAAAGGGCAGGAGATAAGATCAGAATTTTAGACTTTGATTTTACAGGAATTAGGTTCTGTGTTTTCCCCAGTCCTGTTAATAAAGCCACAGAAAATCTGAGTAATTTCTAACATATCCACAACAGGGTGTTTCACTGTTGTTTTGTGTTTGGGTTTTTTTTCTCCAAGTCCATTCAGTAGATATTTTTCTAGCACAGCTGGAATAACATGTCAGTGGAGATTCCTTCTTTTCCTTCTCTTGGCAAAAAGTCCTCTGGGACAGGATTGCCTTAAGCAACAGCAGTCAGGCAGGGGTGCCATAATGAAAGCAGTGACTTGTGATGTTACTGACCTTTGCAAAACTGTGCCTCTGGAAAGGCAATATCAAATCCTATAGTAGCAAAAATTAGGCTACAAGAGCAGCTATAAAAAAACTTAGCGAGTTGGATCTTATCACATCCATGCAGGAGAGATAAGCGCAGTCTGAGCCCCTGAGGTAGCTCAGACAGCAAGATACAAACTTACAGAATAAGGGACACTGATTCCCAGCGATGACTCAGCCTAGTCCACATGGACCCTCTGGTTTTGATAACCTGGTTTGTTTGCTGTTTTTTCCAATAGACACTAACCCTCATTTTTCCAGGTAGTGATGCTGGCTGTGCTGGAATGCCTGCATGAGTCTGTTAAAGATATGTGAATCAGCTTTATTTATAAAACAGAAGGCAGGTTTTGACAGGTGTGGAGGTACCAGCTGCCTCCTCAGGCAGAATTGCACTACTCCTCCTAGTTCCTCCTAACTAGGATTAGCTCAATTTTAATTTCCAGCTGCTGGATTTTGTGATGCATGTGTGGGAATGTTTAGTGAAAGAGGTCCTTCCCTGCATAAGTACTTACTGATAATCATAAATTTTCTTCCTGTCTCTTCCTGGAGCAGATTGAGCAGACTGAGCTTGTGTGATCTCTATCCACAGGGACAGTTAATATAGGAAAGCTTTAAAAAAAAAAAAGTCTCAGATTTCTGCTCATAGTATCGAAAGCCTTGGTGAGATCAACAAAGGTTACATAGAGACCTTTATTCTGTTCCCTACACTTCTCTTGCAGTTGTCTGAGAACAAATACCATGTCTGTGGGATGACACCACCCTTGTTGCCCACACAGAAGCAGCCCTGCAGCGTTTAACATCCTGCTTTGCTGACGCTGCTGAGCTCTTTGGG